CAGGAGGCACCGCTTCCCACATCACCCTCAATAGCACTGAGGGTACCAGTGGCAACATGCAAACGCAACCCCGTGTCAGCCACAGCAAAGAGGAACAGGGGCAGAAATAGATCTTAAAATCACTACTGCACATGAATTCCTGAATCCCAGTCCTTCAGGGAGGATACAAGAGCCACATGCTTCAAAATACGGAGTGAGCTGGAGTCATACTACAAGGAGGGTGTTGGACCCATTTCATAGCAAGAGTGAGAGGGATCACACCCCTGGCATTTATCTTCTACAAAGTAATAGGACCCCAAAGGCTGTGAAATCAATAATGAAATGCAAACCATTTCCTTTGGGAAGGTTATGTTGATTACCAGCTCTGAGGTCTTCAAATCAGCAAAGGAGAATGTGCCGGATGGTCTGTGAGAGAAGGTTGAAGACCTCTGTGGCCTCCAGCGATGCTAACCTGTACCACTTCAGTTTGTGCCTGCCTGAATTCCTGCAGTTTTATTAATATACCATAGCCAGATGATACAGGAGACTGTTTTAGCATAAAAAGGACCACCAGAGTGCTTCCATAGGTCACTGAGCTTCAAGCACGCCTGAAATACCTGAGAGGGGCTGTTGCACACATACTGCGAGCATAAGTTCTGCAGCACGGTGGAGGGAGGGAGCTCGGTGGAAGGGCAGTACATACCAAGTGCTAACTGCCCCGCAACGCGCCTGTCCCCACGAATCACTTAATTCAGCTACTCAGCAAAATCCACTCACATGCTAAGGTCCAGCTGTGAAATTCAGGTCCTGGAGAAGTTAAGAGCAAAACCTCCTCAACTTCAGTGCAGGCAGCATCCAGCCACGTGCAAAGACAGTCTCAAGGCCCAGCAAGACTCTGGGCTGCAAGCATCAAAATTTAGGGTTTGGGATAGAGGACCGGACCTGAGCTCTACTGCTGAGCAAAGAGCACAATCCTCTCCCCTGAATACAGAGCTCTCTCCGGTAGGACAGGAGAAAGGCCAGCTGCAAAGAGTTATAGCCTCACCAGTCAAGGTCTATTTAGGGAGAAAGAGAAGTCAGCTGTGGGGGAGGGAGGAAGGGGTTTTTTTTCCCCAGGTTTTTTGGGTTTTGGTGTTTGGTGGTTTTTTTGCAAGGGGTAGTAGTGTTTGGGGTTTTTTTGAGGGGCAGGGATTTTTTAAGTTTAGTAAGGAGTGAAACAGAGGGTGAAGTGGGTTGTTCTTTAGTCAGGGCTCTTATGCCTCAGACTTTCATTTTGGCTTGGCAGGTATTAGCTCTGCACTTTTATCACGGCGTCAGAATCCTTTGCTGAGTCTGGGCGGGAGCTTCTATGGGGTTGATTCTTCCCCTTTCGCCTGCGCTTGCTTTCATGATAGGCTTTTTTGTTTGTGCTAAGTTAAATCAGGGTCTCTCTAAGGCAAGGTACTGGAAACTTACTCTGGGGGGATCAGATGCTGCAGAAAAGCAAAGGAGAAGACTTCCCCTCATGGTTGTTTCAGGGGGTGAGGACAGGGCAAAGTCAAAGCACCAGCTCCCATGCCAGCTAAACCCATACATATGGCTGAATAAGGGTTTATGTGCTATTGCACATCTGAGCCTCTGCTGAGAAATAACGAACCGGACCCTGGAATTTTGAAGCACATGCATATGTATATATTTATCTACTGAACAAAACAACGTCTACAATGCTTTTTATTTACCTTCTGGGTTTTGAGATTTAAAGACTTATATTTTCTGGCTTTTCTTTGCAATCCTAAAAGACAGCCTATTCTTCTTTTTTAAATGGAAGTTGTGAGTTATACCATAATATGACTCAAGCCTGGAGTACTTAAAGACGACTGGAAAAAAGCTAGTATGAATCCCCCAACTCTTACAAATACTGGAGAAAAAAAAGTTAAAAATATATCTGTACAGTCTGGTAGAGAGCTGGTCCCAATGCTACCTGCTGCTGACTAGAAACCCCACAACTCCCAGTGCCCGAGCAAGCGTCAGGAAGAAGGGGGAGAGGTCCAAGCCTGCCTCCTTGCCATGGGCACACCCCGCCTATCCCTGGGGTACAGCCCTGCCCTCTCCTGGACTAGGCTAAACTGCCGGACTAGCTGAGCTGCTGCTCAGGCCAGCAGGATGCTTTGTAGCACTCCGCTCCGTGCCCAGGCACCCAGTTTTGGATTTTAGGTTTGCTTCCCCTCTTGATGCTCCCCAGCACTCCTTTCTCTCCCCCAGCTCTTGCATCGTGCCAGGCAGCACGAATTTAGGGCCCTACAAACCATATTCCTATGGCAGGGCGTAGAACCTGATGTCAACTCCAAGTTGTTCCGGGCAGGGCCTGTTGCAAGCCTGTTGGGGGGAGAGAGGTGTCCAAAAAGTGCCCACAGCGGGAGGAATCAGTTATACGGCCCTGTGCAAGAGCATCACCCAGAGGCCTCCACAGCAAGTGCGTGTTTATCTCGCTCGAATACCGTCTCTGCGGCAGACCTGCTTGTCCCCGCTCCTCGCACTGGTGCTTCCAAAGCCCAGCTGCCGGCCAGCTTGCTGATCTCCGGGTGTGAGAAGCAGCGACTCCACACTAAGGTGCCTTTTTGCAGCCCCGGTGTCGCTCCCGGTTTAGCTTGCCCCCAGCAGGAGATGTGCGGAGGATTCCCGCTTCCCGAGGATTCCCGCTTCCCGAGCCTCATCCCCCTGCCTGCCGTCTCCCCCTGCCCCACTGCTTGGAAGGGCAGGTGGTGGCTGTATTTAAAGCCTCAATCTTCCTGGGCACTGAACCATTACGAGCAGCGCGCTCATCAGCAGTGCTGAGTTTCACTGACTGATTGTTTTCTGATTCTGTTTGGCATTTTATCCTGGCTGCATAGAAAACTTATTATAAAATCATGTTTGTGTTCCATAGATTATATCTGTGGCTGGCTGCGGTGGGAGTATGAAGCATGACAGGCAGAGTCGGAGGGGCCTGGCTGATGAAAGCCCCTGCCAAGGTGACAGTGCAGTCACAGTGTTTGCAGAGATGAAAATAGGAGCCCCTTGATCAGCCCCAGGTTATCCTGGGGGTGGTTTAGCTGTTGCAATTCTCCTGGCCAGGTCTGTGCCACATGCCACAAATAAATGTTCTAAACACAGTTCAGGTCTGTGTTAGATGACTGCAACGGTCCCTGCTGTTATTAAAAATCTGTTAATCTTTCCCCTAGATAGCCCCAGGCTGGAGCCTGCCATCCAGTCTTACCTGTATCAAGTCCAACAGCCTGCGGTGGAGCTAGAGAGAATCATTATTTAGGTTTTCAGTTGTTACTTGGCTTCTGGGAGCAGCCAGGGCCTGGGAGATGCCATCTACAAAGAGACCACCCATACTGTCCTAAAGGTTTAGGACTGTAATTCTTCAAACGGCAAAACGCTGTGCCGGGCAGAGTGGGAGGTGGGATGCTGTGACCCTGGAGGGTCCTTTTAGTCCCATGTTCCTTGGCTTTTGATACCAGATGCTAAAGCCTCTCTGTCCTTCCGCCATCTTCCACATGAGCCAAAGAAATGGTGTCCTTGCGAGATCAGCTAGGCATGGCAGCAGAAGAGGAGATGCTCTGCATTCTGTATGCCACAAAAATAAAGCCATGCTTTTTTCATCTTCCTCCCAGCTACATTTCCTGGATGCTTCCCAGCAGTGCACGGAGCAGTATGACTAGGATCTGAGTGGTGGCATTCAGCCTTCCTTCCCTTGGCCTCTCTCCTGGGGAGACCTAAACACATGGACTAGCATTTTGTTGACTGCTTGACGCAAACACTCCCAAAACAGGAAAGGTGTCCACCGGAAAAGGTCAAGTAGGAGAAAAAAGCATCACCTCTAGAGAAACAACTAGACATGGCTTGTTGGAGAGGTAGAAAAACGTTACAGCCTCCCTCTCTCCAGAGTTGTTTCTGGTCTCTAAAACATACATTTCAGGAGGGGTCTCCTCTGTTTCCCCCATCCCTGAGCACAGGCAGATCTGCCAGATTCTCCTGCTCATTTCCACTGCTTGTCTAAGAGCAAGCAGTCCCCCCTCGTTCACACATTGCGGATGCTGGTGGTGCAAGAGGCTTCACGTCAGTGGGGCTGGCCATCTGGAACAAACTTCATGTATCTCTCCGTCTCATCGACCCTGTTCCATTTCAGTCTCAGCTGAAATTTATCTTTTTTTGCTCCTCCCTTGCCTGTGACTCTCTTATTTTCTCCCTCATACTGTCTCTGCTGCTATTTATGATTTATTCTCTGTAACTGTCCTATTCAATGCTGCAAAATGGTTGGGAAGATGGCTTCTGTGGACTACGTTGTAGAAAGCAAAGGGGTCCTGTCATTTACCCATCACAATGGAGCTAACTAATCACATCCCAGCATCATGGGAGATGGAAAGGACACCAGCACCCCGGGCTCTGCTGCCCAATACAGTTGGGAGCACAGTGTGAAATGGCCACAGCGCCTTGGAGAAACTGTTAAGGAGGTGCTTATGGGAACTTCTGGCAAAAGCAAAGAGCTTTTAGGATCACACTGGGGTCCCTTCTCCTCGCAGTGAGCCCAGGGCATCCCTTTACACCAAAAAGACTGAGTTCCCTTTTCTGGAGGGGCAGCTTGGGATGTTTCACGTGTCATCATACAGTTGTCATGCAGGACCATGCTCTCGAGAGCCCGTGGGTCCTACAGTCTCACCATTTCTGGAAACCCTGAGATCTGCAGGAGTCAGATCAGCAAAACACGATGAGTCTGTGAGGCTTCTTCCTACATTGGGATTTTTTATCACGCGAATGCCACGCTGCAGCTGGTTCTGGGAAGGCCTCTGCCCACACACTAAATAAATTCTGGTGCGGTGCGCTGCTTCTCTATGGAAACGGTACCCTGCATTTCTCTCTATAGGATTTTTCTCATTTCAGGCTCCATAATAAATTAACGAGAAGATGTTTTTGTTACACCAACCATAGGACAGACTCTTTTCTGTACTCGATTAATCTTTAGTGATCTATATTAAATATTTATCTGAAGAAACGAGGCCTGTATTGCAGCAACATTTTCTATTATGAGACTTTATCATATCAAAAGATATTTTCCTGGCGCTGACTCCTCCGTATATACCCAGACAGAATTTCTGATGGAAGGGCACCCTTTTTATTTTTTCCTTCTCTCCCAGTGACCTTTTCCCTCCATAACAAGCTGCTGATATGTTAGAATTTACTGGGTTATAAACATTTTTTATCGAGTAGGAGGAAGCTGGGTGATTTGGCATCAGCTTCCCTAATAAAACCCAGGGGAGAGGCTGTGATGTTTGACACCAATAAAGGCCTGGAAGAAGCTGCAGCCTTCTGGGATGCTGGTCACGAACGACAAGGGGAGTCAGTGAGTGTCAGTCACGTAGCTTCGCTCTGCTGAGGCTCTTCTGGAAGGAGGCCAGCTTGCTGGCACGGGAGAGGGAGCTGGGAGGGACCTGGTAAAGGGCTCCTCTGTTCTTTCCCAGCATTACCAAAATTGTGTGATCTATCACACGGAGCAGTGAGCTGGGATTCTTAAACCCTCTTTTCCTGCAACTGGGAAGTGGAGAGGCACTAAACAGTTGAGATATCTAAGAAGGGATGAGGACCTTGGTGTTGGGTTCAGGCACTGGCCCTACAGTAACATGGAGAACTCAGATCATAGTTTGATCTTGAACTGGCGGTTGAATTTTCCTACCTCAGACAGACCTCGCATTGGCTATAGATAAACAAAATTATAACTATTTTTATTGAGGTAGTGTCAAAAAGAAACCCAGGCACAGGACTCCGGTTGCGGTGCCACGTGCTGAACAGCAACGCAGCAAAAAAGATGGTGCAGGTTCACCGAGAGCTCACAATCTAATACGTCTCTGCCTCCCAAGGGAGCAGTGATTCAAACTGGTCAATAACTAACTCATTCCACAAAAGCCTGAATAAATCATCTGATGACTAGATATACACACATTATAAATGTTTAGTTCTGATAATATATGACTGAGCTGTTATTTTGATAAATAGCTAGTGAATAATATATTTGATGAACTGCATAATATTTTACTAATGATTAATTTATTCATTCAAAACAAACAAACAAACCCTAGCCTTTTCCTCAGCTATCACAAGGAACCCTAAGTAATGGCTGCAAAGAGCTTTGAGATCCCTGGATGAGCTGTGTCTGTGGTTCCTCCTTTTATCATTGTGTATTTCTAGTAATTTATTGCCAGGGATAATAAATCCATGGCTTATGTTATGGACGGTCTCATTTAAGATTGTGACAGATCTTGTTCAAAAGCTCCTGATGCTATAATGCCCACTAAAATTCACAGGAATTTGGCACTTAGGCTGTTAAGTACCCACACAAAGTGCTTAAATACCTTTTTTAAGTCTGGGCCAAGCTTATCTGAAACATTATCTGCTGCTTCTGACTGGAGACAGAAGTGTTGTGGTTGGGGGTAGTTTCGGAAGGGCTAGTTACTACAGGAGGGCGGTCTATAAGATTTAGCTGAGGATTGTCCTGGCTGTAGTTCTCCCTCTCCCTCGCTCTTAATCCCATTCAGAAATATAATTTCTGTGAGTTCACAGAGAAGATAAAGGACCAAAGAGCAAGAGCGCTTCCTCAGAGCTTTTCTGCAAAGGCGGGCTGATTGATTACAGATTGGACGCTGCTCCAACTTCCTTTCCTAAATGAAAAATTGAGACCTCTTAAAAATTGAATAAAATATGCCATTCTAAGAAGGATTTCCATTGGCATGAGCACAATAAGAGGTAGTAGTGAGTTGCTCGATATTTCTGTGTGTACTGGCTAATCCTTTACTACTCAGTCCCTTTGCACTGTCCCTGTGGCACCTGATGATAACTCATCTGTAATTGGTAAGGGCTTCAGTTTTGTGTCTCCAGACAAAGCTTAAATCACTCACATTTGGGAGAGCTCTGACTTCAGTTGCGGCTGGAGCTGTCCAGGAGATTATTCCTTTTTGTAGCTACTTTCAGGGCTGCAGAATCTGGCTTTGTTCCATGCTGGAAGAATCTGGAACAGCTTGTAATGTTTTCACTAGACAAAATTTTGTCAAAACAGCTCATTTCTTAGATCTCTCTCTTTCGCCATAGTCACTAGCAACCAGAGAGGCCAGGGCTTCAAAATGCATTGAATCCAATTCATCATCCTGAAACACCATACCACAAAATAAAGCATTTTGACAAAACCTTACTTTGAAGAAAATGTTTTTCTACCTTATTGAGACTATTTTATTACACCTGAAATGCAAAGCCTTTGCCATCCTGCCATTTGCCTTCCACCATCCTTGTAGAACTACCCCAGATCTGCTCCCCTTTCCATGCACAATCCCCACCACCATGAGTGAAAATCCCACCCCGGTGGTACAAACACTTGCAAGACTCTGACAGGGAGCTGAGCTACTTCTATTCCAGCTAGGAGACAGCAGTTGTGCACATAAAGTCTTTACCTTTGGACGCTCATCCACAATCATACAGGAGACAGTCACCAACAGAGTTGGTATGTTCAAGTGGGGAGATAAAGCACTGTCTTTTTTTAAAAGACATGATGCAAATATCTCAGTCCCCAGGAGTGAAAACAATAAACTGATTTTTATGACTCTTCTGCAGAAGAAAATTAAGTCCAAATACAGTTTGCAATTATCCTGTAAGCTCATTATATAGTAGCATTCAGCCTCTTCCA